AATTTCCAGATGCAGGTCTTGACCGCTTCACACAGGCAGCCAAGCATGAAGCATTATAGGAGAGGAATTATGTATAGCAGAGGAATTATATTACCCACACCACTAATAAACAATAGGGGGGGAAAGGTGGCGCTTGTTAGAATAGGTGTTTTTTCCCATTCTCCCCCCAGCAGATAAAGCATGCACATTCTGCTGTGGCAAAAACAGAAAGTAGGGGGTGAGCAACCAGAGCAGTGGCTAAGGAGCCCCTCTAGCTGAGCAGCAACTGATTGAAAGTGCCAAGAGCAAGGCTCTAGGCTGGACATCAAACACATCTTTCCATTCTCTCATCCTGCTTTTGCTGTCCCTCAGAAGTGGCTTCTGCATTAGCAAAATCTTTCAGATCAGATCCCCTAGATAATGTTGGTATCCAACTCCTCTCTTGACATCTGGCTTTGTAATAATCTCAATTAGTAATCAAGTTCGCAGAGAATGATTTATCTGTTACAGAAAGCACCAAGCAAAGGTGCAAAGTGGTGGATAACCCAGAGCTACACATCGATATCTATGTTTGTTCATCTTGTACTTCAAGAGGCAGATGGCATTCAACAAAGTGGAGTGGGACAAGTCAAAAGTTCAGAACAAATACTTTCAGGGAGAAGGTAAAGTTGAAAACTGCTTGCCCAAGGATGTCATGAAAATAAACAATTTAACTGGATTCCAAAAAGGATAGGATGATTGCCTGTGTAGGAATGGTCTCATGTGTTGCATTAATTAAAATATTTTATAAATTAAAGAAATACTGAAACAAAGTTTCTACTAGAGCTCAGAAAGAATGACAGATTATCTCCATCCTGCCTAATGCAGGATTTCTTTTCCTTTTCTTGGACACAGCTGGAGACCGCCACCACAGGAGACAGGGAACCGAACTGGATGAACCCTAAATGTAACGTAATCACAATTTCTATTCTCCTTAAAAAGCATGATCAAATGATTAATGAAGAGAGTGCGCCATAACTGAGACGTAGACTCATTCCAGAAAGTGAGTCAAACCTGAAAGTTCACCAGCACAGATTTTCATATCGATACCAAAGATCAATTTGGTCAGAAGGTTCCTTAAACAAGTCAAGATGAATGACTAAAATCTGGGTAGACAAGATCCTGCAGCAGTCATCAGATAAAATCAATTAAAAATGCACTTTGTTACAGAAGCCAGCCAGCTAGCTGCATGTCCCAGCAATGGTACCCCCAAAAATGCAAACCCCAGCTGCATGTGAATAGATAATTCAGTTCTTTACATACACCCTGGTTGCCTCTTTTATTAGCAACAACCGTACACATATTATCACGGTTTATAGAGGCCTGGCAACAGCAGCCCAAGCAATGTTATCTCAGGGTTTTCCTTGTGCCCCCCAGGCACTCTCTGTGTCCTCTGCTGTCTTTATGTGGCAGTTGGACCATAAGCTTACTGCAAAAGGAGCTGCCTTTTGTTCTGTGTTTGGAGAAAACGTGTGAGTGACGACAGCAGTAGGAATAACAAATACAAGTGGTATTACGCACACATGCAAACATCCCTGTGGAAAATTCAGCCATAGGGTAAATACCAAAGTTTTATTTGTCACTTCATTATTTATAAAATCAAAAAGACCTAGAAATAGCAAAAGAACACCTATCCTTGCCAAAACCCCCTCCCAGAGTGGACAGCCCCAGGGGCTGAGATCTGAGTTCTGCTCCAAACAGCAGTGGTATCTCCCCAGCGGGGAATTCCCAAAACAGAAAAGATACCCCAGAGCTGACACAAAGCCAATAGATTTGGCTCCCATGTCAGACTTCCTTCAGCTGTCAAGGCAAGAAGTGTGTCATGGTTAAAAAACCTTCTGCGCTCTGGCTACTCCCTGCTGGAGCTGCAGCAGGCTGGGCAGAGACAAGAGGAGTTCAAGGACTCTGCTGAGCATCCCTGACCTGAAATCAGAAACACACATTCAGCCCCATCCGCTCCAGTGGCATCCAGTGCTGCACGGCATTGCAGACAAGGTCTTTTATCAGTCTCCATAAGCATTCTACCACCCTTTCTGCCGTAAGGTTTATATGGCATTACTCATTAATAGTTCATCTGTTGCTTTGCTGGATGGACTCCTCCTTGCCTCATGACTGAACCCTTTCTTGCCTGTCACCATTGCTTTACATCCATATCACTGCTAAAGCACAGCAGAAGATTGTGAAAAGGTGCAGAAGTGAACAACGTTAATTTACAGTGCACCACAGCTTGCTCAGCTTCTGTGCAAAACAGATAAAATCTTGACGTAGTGAATATTTTATGACTTCTTAAAATAAAATTTAAACAGAACTCAAGTCTTGTTTTACACCACCTGCAAAAGAAAAATTAATTGTAGGAGCACAAGCAGAACACTAGCAAGGTCTTTTAAAAACCTCCATTGGGTTCTTTTGCACCCAAGTGTATTTGAAACAGTTCATGTAAACATGCATATATGTAGGTATATATATATGCACATATCTACACACACACAAATACACAGTAAAACATCCCTCTACTGTGGCATCCTTTCAAATACAGCATCATTTTAAAATCCTTCATGAGAGTTGAGACAGACCCACCCTTACCTTCCTAATTTCCAGCTTCTCTTCACCTTTTGAAACCGAATCCTCATTGCTGTCTCTATGGTGACAGTGACGTCCAGGTCCCCCGATGAGATGGCTGCTGGCATGCACATCAGGTGCCAGAGCAAATCCATCAGCACCAGAAACCTCTCCAGTCTCTAGCTCCTCCATGGGACACTATGCTCTTCTCCAAAGCTGGGTCTGACAAAAAACCCAGTAAAGAAAACAGCATTAAACCACCATCCCATGCCTAAAAGAGGGGGAAACTGCGTCTAAACATGGGGTCTAAAAGTTTTTTATTTTTCTCTTCAATAATAATTACTGCTACTTGGGAAATAAATGTGATAGCACTGCTATCAAAGAGTGTATCTGGATAACCTACACAAAATGAACTAGTTACAGGTAATTTCTCCCAGAGGGTTTGACAGTGAGAAGATTTTTGCATCATGAAGTAGAAGCAGCATGATGAAAACCTCCTGCAATGTCCATCCACCTGGCACACAGAACCAGCAGTGACAGAAGGATGTTTCTTGGCTCCTGGTTAGTACAGAGAGGAGCAGGAGGGGAGATTTTTATCGAGTGCTGAGTGAGGAACATCAGGTGGGACCTGCAAAGGTGTGCCTTTCAGCCAGCCACAGGAGAAGACTCCAGTAACTTTCTCTCCTTAGAAAAGGCACAGCAAGTCACTGGGGTTACAAAATGCCAGCTATTATATAGCTCTGGTTACATTTTATGATGTATATGCTGAGATACCGTATAATGCTGAAACACACTTCCATTGTAACGTGCTTTCTTGTAGCAGCTTGTAGGCACAGCAAAGGATGTTCGGTGCCCACTAGCACTTTCCCTCTGGGCTCCCGAATGGGGGAGACGTGCCATGGAAATAGCTTTGACTTTCTGCCACAGTCCACTGCCAGCACCTGCTGATGTGGCACACCCTGTAGATGCTCTAGATTGTCTTCATATTTCACTGACCTTTTGTAAGTTTGCAGTTGAAGGTGTCTGGCACAGCTCTGTGTCACTGCAACCTTGCTGCCCACTGCAGCGGAGGAAGTGAAGTCCAGCGGTGTTTGTGGCAGCAGGTCTTGCCCAGATGATTGCGTGTGATATACTGCTGCAGTCAGCTCACTTGCTATTCCTCTCTGATGAAGTCATCCACTCAAAATGCAAGGGTCTTATTCAATCCAGTTAAATATTTGGAAAATGAAATAAAGACAGATTAGTCTTGTATTTCCTTAAGTTTCCATGTCCTTTTTCACCCGTCAGCCAAAAAATGTATAGCCCATCATCTTAAAGGTGAAGATTTTAATAGCCCAGCAGACATTAACCCAGAAAAAGACGTAACAGCAATAGTACATCATAAAATTTGCATTGTTGTAATGCATATTAAAAATCTAGTCCCAAGTTGGGTTACTGACGTGCTGTACCTACTGTGTCGAGATTTCCCCCCCCTCATATTCTTTTCTTGATCATCATTCATATATCACCACATTTCTAACGGTCAGACTGTAAATGTTTGGGATTAGGGAATGCTTGATGCTTTGTGCACTGCCTTTCTCATGCTGGGGTGCTGGCCCCTGCCTACGGCTTTGGATGTTACAATAATATAAAAACAAAACTGAAAGGAAATTTAAGTCCGAAAGGAGACAGTAGTACAGGGCTTAATCTTGTGTATAACTCCTGACAAGCGAGGATTCCACCCAGATGATGCAATGCCTCAGTATGCACAGTTGGTAAGCACAGAGGTCATCTTTTCATCTAAAGTGATGGAGTTTTCTCTGTGTTTTGCTCCTCACAGGAGCACCAGTTGTAAGTGGATTGCAGAAGGCAATAGCTTTGCCTTGAAACAACTGCAACAGAAGCGCAGCCAGGGTGCTGCTGCTCCTAGTTCACATAGAATTCATTTCCATTTCATTGCAAAGAGGTAAAAAAGTATCTCTCAGTCAAACCACCAGATGCTGGGGTCACTGGACTAAGAAAGGTTGTATGTCCTGGTGTCAGCAGCGTTGCACAGGTGCCTGCAAGTCCCTTTCCATTAGAGACATACAGCCAGCCCCAGCAACGCAATAGGGAGAAGTAGACCAGCAAAAGTGATGTTGGCGAGCCCATCAGCCAAGGAACATTGGGAAGACCCAGGAAACCAAGGTATCATTTAAAGCTTTCCTTCTCCAGTCTCCATAGAAGTCTAACAGCAAAAGGTGACCACAGGGCACAGCAGCATCCAGGTGACAACATACAGAGCAACTCCACAGTAAGAGTGGGTTACATTGAAGGTCAGAATATCACAGAGCACTGCAGAACAGACATCAGTCTCCAAGGTCTAACCTGTAGCTCACACGAGAGTTTAACAGGAAAAGCACGACCAGAAGAAGAGCAGACTTTAAAGTAACTAACATGAAAGACAAATATGTTTGTCTCAGAGCATCTGAATCAAACCTTTGATTACAATCATTCCGGATCTGAAAACAACAACTGAGACCTGTGCATGCACACCATAAAAAGAAAAGAAAATTTCAAGGGGTCTTATATTTAAGCTTATTAAAGCTATAAAGCAATCATTCATAGTTTTTTTTCTGCTCACCCCCCCATCATGCAGAATCCTATCAATTCCACAAGAACAGCCCAGCCTCCCTTCTCAATCTATATCCACCTGTTATATTTCACAGATATTTAACATTATGCTAGCAAGACTTCATACATCCAAGGAATATACATCTCATAACACCAGTAATGCAAATGACTAGGTATTGCGCATTACATGCTACAACGAATTACAGTTTTAAGAGTTACTTTTTTATTCTGTGGCCCTGTTGTATAAAAAAGTGTGACTTTTAGGATTTTCTCATCTAGGGAAAAAAAGCCAACAACCTCCCTTCCCCTCCACCCCACCTTCCAAAAAAGGAAAAAAAAAAAAAAAAAAAAAAAAAAGGGTGCAGGGGGGACAGGACAAAGAGGGGAGCAGGTAGGAATCCCTGCTGCTACTGAGCCAAATCAGGATGAGGTCTTTTACAGAAAAAAAATCTTTGGCATTTTGCTGTTTTCATGCTTTTAAACTTCTAATGGCAACTGTTTAACACATTTCTCATTGGAAATGCACAATAATAATTAAAATAGTTTCATTAATATAAAAAGGCTATAATTATGTATTTTGCTTTGTTTGACAAAACTGTGATTTCTACCAAAACACATGACCAGCCCTCGGGTGGTCTATTCACAGCAAACAATGTGTTGTCCTGGGCACACAAGAAGAAAGACATGATGTTGTTTAATTGAGCCTCAGACTTCATTTACTTAACTTTTATGGAAACTACCAGTAATAACTCATAGAGGGCACACCATTATTTCTTCTTTCATCAAGTCTACATGATTGAATGCTGCCATTACTGGCGGCTTCTTTCTCACACGCTCAGTTATACTCGCCACTGGGACACTACCTTTCTCTTTGTATAAGGGTTAAAAAGACAGAGGGAGGAAGTTGTTTCCTCACCACATCAGACATGCAGAACTACTCAAAATCTGTTGCCAAGTTTTCTAAGAGATTTCTTTTTTTGACATCTACTTTTAGTTCTTAAGCCACAGATAGCTTGGTTCCTGTGTTCCTTACACCCTGAACCCAGATAAGTAACCAAAAGATGGCCAACCCCTTTCTGAAGATCAGGTAAAAAAATACCATTGCTACAATTGGGAAACAGTACTTCATCATTTCTCGATAGCTTTGATATCAGATATAATATTGTGAAGTTAACGAATTATTTTCACCATTCTCAGTCAGAAACTCTTGAATTTACCCAGCCAGAGCTGCTCAGACCAGCCTGGCACAAAGTCACTTCAAACCAGTTAACTCTAAAAACACCGTTTCCATGAGAAAAGCATCTGAAGATATCTGCTGTTGAGGTTACCTGTTTGAAGAAGTCCTATTTGTAACCAATAGGGACATTCAGAGACTTAGGGACTCAAGCCTTAGCTCAAATTTTGAGTACACGACAACATGGATAGTCCACAGCTTCCAGCATCATGATCACTGTAGTTGTTCACCAATGGCTTCAGACCTGCCAAGTGTGCCTGTATTTCATAGAACATACTCAGAACAAGCACATGTAGCCACACAATTATTCCTGGCCGTAAGGACTCAGATGCAACATGATTTCCCATTTACATTTTCCCATTCCACTAACATTATCAAAGAAACATTTCATTTCCAATTGTCTTTTCAGAAGGCTAACAAGGGGCTCATGAATACATCAAAGCAAAGTCATATTATTCATTTACACAAGTGTTTCTGATTACTTTTCCTCTGACCCCTCAGACAACTCTTTATTAAAAAGTTAGAAGAAATATCGAGTGTTTTTCAGGACCACCTCTTGCAACCCTAGGCTGTGATCTATTTCCACATTTGCAGAACATCCATCTAGGATATGACACAAAGCACGTGTACTAGCCCTCTGCAAACCTGGGGTCTACGAGAAAATCATGTCCCAGCTGACAGGGAGCCATCTCCAGCAAATACAATCAGTTATGAAAACAGTAGGAAGTATACTGTTCCACATGCATTGAAAATATGTTCCCTTAAGGGTCTCGCACAAACTACACCTTTGGTTAGCTTCTGAATGGAGTCTCCAGGTGGTTAAAGTGCTGATATTGCATTATTTATGGTGATTGAAATGCATCTAAGTAGTGCTTAGCAATAGAATTTACACAAAGTCACTTGATGGAAAAAATACAGGGTGGGGGGAGGAGGTTGTTTACAAAACAAGTTACAGTAATAAAGCTGCTAGGCTGAGCCAAGAGACCTCTTAGTAAATCATTTATTCCACAGTTTGACAATATTTACAAAGGTTTTTACATGAATTATTTACTCAAGCTTTTATAACTTGTAACGTACTGTACACAAAACAGCAAAAACACATTAGAGCTACAAACCTGGGAACATACAGTTATGGAATGACAGATGGTGGAAAGGGGTCTGACAAAGGGAAGTTTACAACTAACACAAGCAACAGCCTTTTCTATCTGTCATCAATGAAGGGATGGGGACTAGGAGGAAAATGCGATTCAAGGAAACAAGACTATTTTTCAAAAGCTACATTCTTTGTGATCGCTGGATTTGGTTATTTAAAAACAAGTCCTTTGTTTTGAGTGTTTAATTCTAAGAATTGCCATTTCAGTGGGTT